GAAACAGGGTTTTTCATTGGCATAGAACTCACCAAGTAGGCCAAGCTGGTCACTGAGCCCAGGGATCATCCTCTGTTCACTTTGGAAGCACTATTGCCAAGGTGGGCCACTAGTCAAGGCTTTTAAAAAAAAAAAATGTGTTCTAGTACTGAGCCTGAGTCCTCAAAATTGCCTAAGCCAGTGGTTCTTAACCCATGGGTCTTGACCCTTTTGGGAATCAAATATCAGATATCCTGCATATCAGATATTTACATTGCAATTCATAGCAGTAGCAAAATTACAGTTGTGAAGTAGCAATGAAATAGTTTTATGGTGAAAGCGTCACCACAACTTGAGGAACTGTATTCAAAGTTCAAAGCTTTAGGAAAGTTGAGGACCACTGGCCAAAGCCATCTCCCAGTCCCTGCTTTGGTTGATCTCAAATCCACACATGCACTTGATTCCAGGGCACAAGTAGGCTTCATGATCAACCAAAGCAGGGACGGGGAGATGGCTTTGGCCATTTGAAGAGATCGACATGTTTATTAAATTTGGTACTGAAATTAATAAAGCAACTTTTAAACTTCGCTTAGTAGCAAGCTAAAAAGAAGTGCATGTGTGATGATTTTCCCTACCATTCCTCACTACCATGACTTTGATGATGATTAACTCAAACAAGGAATGCTCTCAAAAAAAAAAAAAAAAAAAGACGGCACATTACAGGGATATCACTTTACTGTGTTTAAGTTGGCACATGCTATTAATATTGTAGTGTTCACTGAAATCACTCTAGTGACGTTACAGAGAAAAACAAGACAGCTGATCTAAAATACATTCTACACAACAGAATAAAATTTGAAAGTATATAAAACAAAAAAATCACTAGATCATTTTCTGCTTCTTTGAACATTACAGTATAATGTGGAATGAGAATTCAACTTGTTATATGCATACAGCAGATGGGCCATTAAATTAATTTAATGTAACCAAGCCTGATAAGAGGTAGCATCATTTATTGACATAAAAAGCCTCTCCACTCTTATAATATCAACCTTTACAGTTGGCCCAAAACTTCAAAGCTCAGTGCTAGGACAAAGAGCCTGGTTATCATTTATAGACTGATCAGGAGAAAAAGCATTTATGTACAAATAAGAATAGTGACTATAAGAGTATGAAGGCACTGCTTCCCCTCGGTGTTTCGATACCACATCGTTTGGAGCCTGAAACATAAGTCAATTGAGAACTTGGAGATGTTCCAGGGGAAAGCAGTGAAATGATTAGAGTTGGAAAATAGGCTCCATAAATCACGACTCTAGGAACTGGGAGTCACTTAACCTGAAAGGAAAAGCCACATGCATGCACTGGATGCTTGTATCTGAAACTCCCAGAGGGCAAGATTTGCTTTGACCCATCCTTAGCTGTGAAAGTGCAAAGATATCCAGAAACCAAAAAAAAAAAAAAAAAAAAAAAAAAAAAAAAAAAAAAAAAACACCAAGGATATTCTCAAAGCACTACTGTATTTTTTAATATGGAACTATCTCTCATTTTGAAGGTGACCAACAGCAGCCCTGGGACAAGCAGGGTGTGTGCCCATTCATCAAGAGACATGAAGACAAGGCTAAGTGTGACCCCTAACCTCCAAGATTAGTCAATATGCAAACAGAAGCATGGTGCCTGTAATCAAAGAATGTGTGACATCCCCTTAGTGAATCCGAGGACAGATGGAATGCAATCAAATTTGCTTAGGAGGCTGCGGTGGAGACCTTGGGTTTCAGGGGGTTCTTGATCCTATGAATGACCTTGCTGACAGAAGTAGACAGGACATTACCATTCTGCTTGTCTGAGAAAACAAGTACAGAGAATCCAGGCAAGAGGCAGTGAGATCAAGCAATCACTTAGCAACTGTAACCCGCTGTGTTTTATCAGATAAACGCATTTTTTCCCATTAGACTCAAAGCTGTTATCAACAGAAAATCTATTGTATTGATTGATTTGATGTGTGTGAGGAGAGATGATGCCATCATAATCACAAGTACACACACACACACACACACACACACACACACACACATATTCAGATGAATCTTTGTGTATATAACAGGTTTAATTTAATCCTTTAATAAAGAATTTCATGTTCACTTATTCTGTTACACTCCACATAGTGAAGACAGGAGGTCCGAGCTGAAACATAGTCACTTTTAGCTTCTGTTTTATTTAAAACACATCACCGTATTCACACTACCAGGAAGTACTTTCTGTTCATCCTATCGCCTCCTCGCGTATTTCCTTTGCTTGTGTTTTTTTGTAGGATCGTTTCACAAGCTTTGAATCAGTCTAGAAATATTTTATTAGGTCTTATATTATTACACACAAAAGTTGGAGAACAAAGCTGCTTGCTGGGGTCTAGGCAAATACCGGGAGAAAATAGAACTAAGAGTTTTGCTGGGGAAGGGGAATTGATAATTAAAGTCTTTCCCTGTCGTCCGGTGTCTCTGTGATCTGAACCTGCTTAGAAAATAACTTCTGAATTCCAGATTTTAAGAACCCGGAATGACTTGTCTTAATGTTCTGTCTCATTAACTGACTGAAATGAAGAAAAAAATACTCCTCTTTCTCTTTTGAAGGTGAAGTGGGAAAACTTCACAGAAGATAAATATTGAGGGTACGTGGGACAATTCTTCAAAGCATCATGTGATATTTCTTAGAAGGTTTTCGGGCAATCTCCCAGTTAAGGAAATTGCAATAGAAAACCTCAGACCTTCGCTATCATCTGACCACACTTTCAAAATGTTCTCCTTTTATCTTACCACATGACTGGGAATCACCTTAAGATTCAATATTCGAAGATGAATGCTCCTGGACCCACATCCCCCGGTATCCTAATTGTAATTGTATCCAATTTGTCTCGAGCAGCAAAATGACACAAAGGCTGCCCTTCTACCCTACTGGCTTTTTCTCCTTCCCTTGCACAGAGCTCTCTAATAAATGAAGAGAGCGCAATTATGCCCGGGGCTTCCCATCTGCTTGTGATTACCTCTACACACTTGCCCGCAGGAAGACACTGGCTAGTCACTGGAAGAAGGGCCATTTCTTAGCCACCCATTTAGAAGAATGTCAGCTGCCCCCATATGATTTACAACGTGAACACAGGGGACCTCAAAAAAAAAAAAAAACCACTCGTCCCACCACTCTACCCCACTCTGGAAACTTCTGAGTTATTTTTATAGAATGAGCGCGTGCGTCTGAAAGCGAGGCTTCAGCGCAGGGTCTGAACAATTCTCTGCGTGTCACGCTAACCCGAGAATGGAGAAATTCAATCCCATCATATTAGCGAGCACTGATCTGTTCTGACACCACTGAGGAGAAAGTTTTGAGTTCAGAGACTGGAATAAATGGCCAGGGGCATCCCACAAGCCAGTTTCTGCAGAGAAGAGCCACCCAGGAAAAAGCTCGTCTCGCCTTAAAGCTGCCAGTGTGTGTGTGTGTGTGTGTGTGTGTGTGTGTGTGTGTGTGTGTGTGTGTGTGTGTGTGCTAAGAGGACATTATAAACTCAAATCCCAGAGAAAATGGCCCAGGTTAAAACTGCAGAAATATGTCTGATCGAGTTAGCTGGGCAAGTAGATTCTGGAGGGGAAAGGGGTCCTGGAGGAAAGAAAGATCAAGGCAAATGGGGGCGTTTAGTGAGAGTCACGTCACCAGGATTACAGATGTCCTTAGTGTGTCTTATATTAAAGAAATTCAAAGGAATTTACCCAGGCTGGTGCACTTGTCAGAGACTCATCCCATAACTGTCCTATGAATCACACTCTTCCCAGCTAATTCGACACTGGACTCACTAGTGTGCATTCAAGTTTTCCCTTTTGGTCTCTCTTTACAGATAAGACCCTGGCTAAAACAAACATGAAAACTTCTTAATAAAGCTCTGGGCAAAATAAAACAGTTGTCTTCCAGCTGCATAGTGATTGTATTCTTAAGAAATGCAGTGGTTATAAAACGATGAGAAGATTTAAAAAAAACAACTATGGGTTTATCTGTGGAGTCAGAAAACTAAAGTTTATGAATGCAAAAGGGTACCACTCAGAGCTGAATATGTCTGGCATCTGGACCCAGCAGGACTCTGTCAGTGGGTCCATCAGTTCTGCTGCCCACGACCTGTGTGACCATGACTGCTTGGGAGATACCTATGTGACACAAATTCTTATTCCTGGTTGTGACTGCTGTGTGAGATAGAAGACAGCCCTTCACTCTGTTGAACCGCCTCACGTACCACAATGCATTGAGCATCCCTGGACTCAACTAATCCCAACAGTAGTATACCTCCATCACACTGACAGCCCAAATCTCATCACAGAATGACAGACTGTCCATCTGAGAACAGCCCATTCATATGTTATACCTCTGATCTCTTTATTAGTTACCATCACTATTGTTATTATGCTAATAATACTAAACCTTTTCAAAAAGTTTTTTTTTAATATCTTTGTTTCCTTGCTAAGTTTTTGAGAATTTCATATATTTTGGGTTTTTTATGTTTTGAAATTAAAATATAGTTACATCATTCTCTCTCCTTCCTTTTCTTCTCAAGAAGTCCCCTTATGTCCCCCAACCTCCTCTCTACCTCAAATTCATGGGTTTTTTTTGTTATTGTTATATGCACGTGCACACACACATACACACGCACATTTGTGTGTGTGTGTGTGTGTGTGTGTGTGTGTGTGTGTGTGTGTGTAGACGAACAACTTGCTACATCTGTTTAGTCTTTCTTGTATGTCTGTGATTTCAGGGGTGGCCAAATTGTACTGCATAACCAATTAGGGAGCTCATCTCTGGGGAGAACTGTGTCTCCCACTCTCGGCATTCCTTAGTTGCCTGTAGCCCCTGAAGGATGGGGCCCTGTGTGTTTTGATTATATTTGTTCTCTCCCCCATTTTCTCTCAGAATCATTTCCATTCCACCCCCACACAATTTTGTGAGCTCACTCATGTTTTCAACCCACTAAATCTAATCCTTTTTGCCTATAGACTCTTGGACATGTGACCATCCACTGAAGAGTGCTCCACCTGCCCAGGACCACACCTTTAAAGAAAAGCTGACTCTCCTTCCTGATCAGCTGCCGACTACCCATAGCTGCTCAGCTAGACTTCACACCCACCTCCCCACTTCGATGCTGGTGTTTTGTCTCATTTCAGCTTCCATAGGTCTTGTGCATGATGCCACAACTATTGTGAGTTCGTGTGTGCAACTGCCCTACTGTTTCTGGAAAGCATGAGTTTCTTGTAGTCATCCCAACATCTCCAGCCCTTATGATCTTTCATCCCCCACTTCTGCAATGATGCTTGAAACTTTGAAAGCATGTCGATGATGTAGATGTCCTATATGACTGAGAACTCCATGATAACTTACCCTCTACATCTTGACCATCTGTTGGTAAATGTGTTAGTCACCATCTATTGCCAAAAGAAGCAATATCAGAGAAGACATAATCTCTGATAAATGTCTGTGAAGTGCACTAATCTATGGGTATAGTGAGAAGTTGTTAGGAGATGGTTAGTACTATGTCTCACTAAAGAAATAGTAGTAAGTTCTCCCCTAGGGCTATGACCTGTTTAGCCACAGGTTGTTGGCCCCAATAAGTATTTAGTCATGGGTTTTATCTTGTGGAGCAGCCAAAGAAAAAAGTGGTTGGTTACTCCCATGACATTCATGGCACTATAGCACCAGGAGGCACTTGCCATGCAGGTCATTATCATAGTTCACAGGGCTCATTAGTGTGTAATATTGATGATTGCTTTTCTTCTCCAGTAGGATGCTTAGTACATGCTATCACTGTAAAAAGCTACCAGTAGGGATGGCATTTCCAGGTCAGAAGCAGCTTGATTCTCCAAATTCTATTACTCAAGTGTGCAATGTCTTTGACATTAGAATCTTACTGTCAAGTTTGGGAGGGTAACCAAGGGCAATGGCAATAGTTAATAATACTTGAGAGTTGGGAGCACAATATAGCATCATTACTTAGACGCTGTGCATCAGTTCTGTATTACCAGTTCATCTCATCCACTCCATCTCATCTCTCTCATGGTCCACTTGTTCAAAACAATGGTATTCTACAAACAGTCTGTGTGGTCTCCTCCCTCAAGTGCTGTTGCAAGGTATTGATTCTCTGCATAGAACACTTTTAGCTTTAATATCTCCAATCTCCTTTGTTCTCTTTGGACCCCTGCTCAAATGTCACTTTATGAGGATCGTTCTTCAGCCACACCGTCTAAGAAAAAATTCCACACCTTAGCAACACACCTTCCCCTTAATTTACCTTGCTTTCTGGATATCATGTTTAGTTTCTAGTGAAACATAATTTACCTATTTAATCTTCTATATTCCCTTGGGCATTATTATTTGAATAATGCTCAAGACTGTTCTTGTTCACTATTATATAATATATATATACATTTAAAACAGAACCCAGTAATTTTCTGTGCAATGAATAGGCACAATTTCACAATTTCACACATAATAGCACAAAATAACACCCATTTTTTTGTTTACCAAGTTAATGAATGCAATCATTTCCCTTTCCCCTACCCATCTCTTTGTGAAATCCTTGAGTTGTACTGACAAAAGGAAAAAAAAATATGCAAGTCCTGTATTAGATCACATTGACACTCATTATATGAGAAGGTGAATGTAGAGTAGTTCCAAAGTAAGTTCCCATTAACTACACTTAAAGTGGGCATTTATTTAGAAATCAAAACATAGAAACTGCTGTGGCATGACAGAGTGTGTGTGTGTGTGTGTGTGTGTGTGTGTGTGTGTGTGTGTGATCATCAAAATAGTTGTTACACAAATTTATTTCAGAACAGGACAGAGTAATCTGAAAAGGCAGCACACATACCTCTCGCCTCAACCCATCTGTGCATTGAATATGATCCATGATTACCAGTGTCCTTTTAGCATCCTCCTGTACTGTCTATATCCCAAAGGATCACCTTTTCAGGATGAATTTTATGTATTACAATCTTAGGAATATTTTGTACATGAATTCTTGTACATCTCATCTAATGAGCTCACTGACAACTCTCTTCTCTGTATTTCCTACACTTCATTGCATATTTAACTTTAATCTCACTGTTTTAGCTCCAGTTTTCCTTTTTTTTCTTTTTTAGTTGTTCTTTTTTACTGTTGTTAAGAGATTTTCTATTCATTTTACATACCAACCACAGATTCCCCTGTCCTCCCTCCTCCTGCCCCCCAGCCTCCCTCCCCCAACCCACCCCCCATTCCCACCTCTGTGGTGGTATTGTGTTCTCCGTAATATTGTGCACACTAATAAACTTATCTGGGGTCAGAGAACAGAACAGCCACAATATTAAACGTAGAGGTTAGTTGGTGGTAGCACACGCTTTAATCCTAGCATTCCAGAGGCAGAGATCTACCTGGATCTCTGTGTGTTTAAGGATACAGCCAAGCATGGTGACTCACACCTTTAATCCTAGCATTCCAGAGGCAGAGATCTACCAGGATCTCTGTGTGTTCAAGGATACAGCCAAGCGTGGTGACTCACACCTTTAATCCCAGAAAGTGATCCTTTAATCACAGGGAGTGAAGGCAGAAAGCAGAAAGGTATATAAGGTGTAAAGACCAGAAAGTAGAAGCTTTTAGCTGGTTAAGCATTCAGGCTTTCAAGAAGCATTTCAGCTGAGATTCATTCTGGATGAGGACTCAGAGGCTTCCAGTCTGAGGAAACAGGATCAGGGGAGGAATTGGTGAGGTGAGGAAGCCGTAGCTTGTTCTGCTTCTCTGATCTTCCAGCGTTCACCCCAATAACTGGCCTCAGGTTTGATTTTATTAATAAGACCTTTTAAGATTCCTGCTACACACCTCCTACAAGGCAAAGTCTCTTATGGGGAGTCAGCAGAGCCTGGTACATTCAGTTGAGGCAGGTCCAAGCCCCTCCTCCCTGCACCAAGGCTGTGCAAAGTGTCTCACCATAGGCACTAGGCTCCAAAAAGCCAGCTCATGCACCAGGGATGGGTCTTGATCCTACTGCCTGGGGGGCCCCCTAAACAGTTCAAGCTAAACAACAGGAGTCTCTTGACTTGCACTTTTTTTTTTTTTTTTTTTTTTTTTTTTTTTTTTTGGTTTTTCGAGACAGGGTTTCTCTGTGTAGCTTTGCGCCTTTCCTGGAACTCACTTGGTAGCCCAGGCTGGCCTCGAACTCACAGAGATCCACCTGGCTCTGCCTCCCGAGTGCTGGGATTAAAGGCGTGCGCCACCACCGCCCGGCTTGACTTGCACTTTTATAGTTAATCTGAGCCTCTGTGTTGAAAAATAGAGAAAATAAAAACAACATCTCCATGGTATTAATCTAACAGAATTCAAAAATCATATTTGTCTGATTCCAAAATCTATGGCCATTTTACCACATGGTTAGAATGAAACAATGAAATACGTTGAACACAAATGCAATTTCCATGAATTTGAGCACCATTTTCCCACTTGCTGTTTCTAGAGAAATATGTTGGTTGGTTTCCAAGAATATTTATTTCGTGCCATTATGAATAACATCTAGAAAACACTGAAGAATGAAGTCAACATGTTATCAATTTTAGATGAATTATGAAGAATTTGGGCTTACCTGTGGTAAACTTTTGTTTGTTCAAAATCAGTATATAAATGAATAGCATCTACTCTGTCTTAATGAATTGCTTTGTTGATATTATTGACAGTTCATAGTCTGCCTACTTAATTACTGTGTCTTTAAAAGAATCAATCTCCTTTATCTTGGCAGGGCAAAAGCAACATGATAAAAAACAGTCGAAGGTTTCTGCAAACCTCCCAACTCTTGCTTGTCAGAGTTTGGCAGTAGAAAGCACTGCATATTCAACCCTGGGTTAGAACCTTAGAAGTCTAGTCAGAACACAAGGGATGAGCCAACATCCCTTCTAAGAGCATGTTCCTGTGGCTTTAGGCCAGTGTTTTCACCCTTATAAGGTGAAAAGATACTCATCACTCCCGTGTGTACCATATTGCTGGCTGTACACATTACTATAGAATCTTCATAACATGGAGATTTTCTGTTAACTCCAATTGACAAACCAAAGGCTGAAAGCTCTGACCAAATTCTGGTATAAAGGCAGGTCGACTCCAATTCAAGTCCGTATATGACTCCCTTGCCCTTGACTTCTGGGGTGTGCCACAAAATAGAGATATTCCACATTGGAAAGGAAACGGTGTCAAAATTCTCAATGCCCAGTCTGGAGACAGAACCCATAGCTAACATCTAGGTAGGAGGATCTGGATGTCCACTAAATAGTGAAACACAACCAAATGTCCCCAGACTTGAATTAAGGGAGCCGGGATTCAGGGTAGGCTCCAGATTCTGGGCAGAAGCTGGAATAGCAAACCAAGAAACTGAAAGATGTGGGGGGGGACCAAGTATAAATAAGCACAATGGGACTGAAGAATGCATGTCAGATACATGAGTTTGCTGGGTTCATCTCAGGAACACAGTCATCAGTGATTCATCGGAGCAGTAAGCCTCACTTAATACTACAAAGCAAAGAAGACTGATGCAGGTGCTTCTGGGTGGTGCTGTATATGAGGGCCTCGGTGAAGCTAAAGGGTACAGGGGAGTTTCTTGTTGTTTCAGTCCAACAAAAATGATCAAGCACATTACGGACTTCATCTATTCATTAACATCGGGAGTGTGTCCCATGCATGCACTAGTTACTTTATCAAATTGAGACTTCTGATTCACCAGATGAATTTTAATAATGACTTTTCCCCTTTTGCTTGTCTCTCCAGATTTCTACCTTTTCCCACCGCTATAGCTCTAACCCAAGACTTTGTAAATGATAGGCACTTCCTCTGCCCTGAGTTACACCCCAGCCTCAAATTTGCATTGCACCTCTCTGTGACCGATTCATTTTCCTGAGGTACATTCGTCTTGAAACTTAGTTGCAAGTTTTATGAGTTTTTCTTTAAAAGAAGATAGGGGGTGGGAAGGAAGAAATTCCAGGCAGGGAGGGAATAAGGGCATGAACAAAATCTGCTTGGAGAAAGAGGAGCCGCTCAAGTGGATGGAATATAAAGTGGTAGGGATTGAGGCGAGGGTAAACACAGAAAAGTTGGGGAAGCTTCCAGGTGAGGGACCTGGGGGTAGGTGGGATTCTGTATTATACATTATCTCACACTCATTTGACCATTATTAGGTCACATTGATGAACTTATATGAGATGAAGTGTGGGAGCCCATTTTCAGGTTTCCTAGTGGCTTTACCCAGCAGGTCGGCATAAAGAGGATGACTGGACCACGGACCTGAGTGCAGGTGTCTGAGATGGTCTGCACTTGGCTGTGCTGGGGGGAGGTCTTTGGCTCCACCCCCTGGCATGTCTATAAATACCCTAGGGCGGAGACAGTC